CAGGCAGGATGGCAGCAGCCAGTAACCACGTTGGCTCAGGCTGCCACAGACCATCCATCTCGGTTCCTTGAATCTTAACATCAGTTAAACAACGAGTCATCTGACTTAGCTGTTAGGTAACTTGCACAATCAGGAGATCAGCAGGTCACTTACCCTATAATGTAGGGGGACACCTGAAGTGATGCAAGAGACAGCTATTATTTTCACAAGAAAATGAATACTAAATTTAATGACATTTCTATAGGAAGACTCAACAAGAAGTCACAGCAAGCTTGAATCTTGCTCTTGGACAAAGGTGGAATGAGGACAAACACTCCTCTAACCAGCAAAGGCTAAAAGGGGCCTCCCTTGTTCAGGTGTCTTCACAATAATCAGTTCTCAGTTTCAATTACACTGTACAAATCAAGAAGGAAGTGCTAATTCACAGAAATATTAAATCTGCTTGTTGGTTCATTTCATACTTGAATCCTTAACTTTAGCAACTTCTTTACTGTCTACAAAAGATAAGAAGGACTGGATCCTTGAAGTAGGACCACCACCCAAATAATAAGAAACACTTTTAAAAAAAACTTGGCTTAAACTAGACCCAGTTCATTGAACTTCATGGAAGCACAAAAGTATTTTTTTTTCAGTTAAAAAGTATTAAAAAAATGAGATTCATAAAGAAGAATGTGAGCCCTCCAAGGACAAAGTCAGAAAATTCATCTGAGGTGTTATACTCCTCAGAAACAAGAAGACACAAGGTACCAACCAGTCAGTGAAGAGTCTGCTCAGCTCCTAAGAACAGGGTAGAAACGTGGATTTGAACAAATATGCTTTCCATTTCAAGTGTACTTCACAATTAAAATAATTCCAAAAACCATTAGTAAAGATTCTCCTTTCTTTGATTTTAGATGTGCCTCAGCACACAGGTATGAAGAAATCATTGCGTGGCAAGAGGTCTTTCTTTCAAAGATTTCCTTTCTTAGCATAAATTTCACAACATGAGATTTTCATGCCATTTCTAAAGAAGGGTCTCTGATTGGAGGCACATAAAGCTATTTCACAGGGCAGCTGAGGTGCAAAGGAGACCATATCAACAACTTTATATAAGCTATACCATGTTTGCCACACTATATTGCCTGCATGGCTAGCAGGTACAGTCAGAGTTTAAAACTCACCTATTGCAGAAGAATGCTAACAAATGTAGGAAATAGAGCCACATAATATTATCTGTCCTTTAAAAGTGACAAATACCTATGTTTCTTCACCAGATATTGCTTTATCATGATATAACGGGTGATAACTGTATTTTTTTCCCCCTGGAATTCCTGTTTCCAGAGAATTGAAATTGAGTGATGAAATGATTAATATATAACTGTCTGGGATACAGTTCAAATATATCTTAGAAGTCAGTTCGTGGCACAGTGAGAGAAATGAATGGCAAAGCACTAAAATGATCCCATTATGACTGTTCTTTATGCATTGTGCACTGGGAAGTAGGTTAATATACCTTAAAAATAAAAACTAGAGGTACAAAAAAAATAGGGCACTGCCATTTCCATTTCAGTACAGTATTTCACAGATTGTGAGAGCAGCAGACATGTAACCCATAGCCAGCAAGCAAGTCAGACCAGAAGTACAGGTCAAATGATGGTCAGTCTCAGAAGATTTCAACGTGCTCCACAAATGATATCCAGGCTTCAGACCTGCATTACAAAAGCGGTGAAGGACACACTGCAGAACACTACTATTTAAGCGCTTTCTGGTTTGCGAAAAGCAAAACAAAGAACATATGCATCAGTAAACTCCAAGGAGGGATTTTTGGATTTAATAAAGTTCCATATTTACTCTGTTTCACAGAAGTTCATCGGCTTAAACTAACCCAATTCTTGACTTTCCATCGGACCAGATACTTGAAGTGAGTCATGAAGCATGTTTAGGAACACTGGTATCAGGAACTATCTTGCAGTGAAGCCAACATGAACTAAGGGCAGTCAGCAATTGCCAGGAGGCACTCAACACCTTACCAGACAGAAGAGACATCATAAAAGAAAGATGGCAAGAGTCTGCATTCTCTTCTCTATTTTGAGCCAGAGACGAGGCAACCACATGCTCCGCAATGTGCCTGTGGAAAATGCTGGCTCTTGAATAGCACTGACATAAACTCCCAAGTCTAAACTTCATCCTGATTTGAAGTGAGCACAGCTCTACCAAAATGAAACATAATTTGCTCTTTCCTGATATGGTCTTCCTTCAAAAGCCAACCCACAGCCCCTCAAAAAGGGTGAAGAAGCACAGATCTTTCTAGGATGTTAATGGGAGATGGGACATGGGCTGGGAGATCTGATCTTCACAGTGAAGAAGGGCCAGGTATTATGCTGCTGCTGCTGCCTTAAGTGATGAGGGGAAGGATGAAGACCCTTTCTACCCTGTGTTATGACACTGCTCGCTCCGTGTGCCAGGCATGGGCCAGGCTGACCAGCCACGCCCAGGCAGGGCTGCGGGGTGAGAGAGGGCTGCAGCAGCACAATGTGCGTCCCAGCTATGCAAGAAATGCAAGGTGTGATCCAGTTATGAGTCTCATGCTCAAAGCAAGGATCACCGAATCAGATAATGGTTGAGGTTGGAAGGGGCCTCTGGAGGTCATCTTGCCCAACCCCTCTACTCATGCAGGGGCACCTACCGCTGGTTGCCCAGGACCGAGTCCAGCTAGGTTTTGAACATCTCCAAGGATGGAGACTCCACAACCTCTCTGGGCAACCTGTGCCAGTATTTGACCTTCCTCATGGTGAAAAAAGCATTTTCTGATGTTCAGATTGACTTTCACGTGCCCGCTGCCTCTTGTCCTGTCACTGGGCACTACTGAGCAGACTCCAGCTCCCTGTTCTTCACTCCCTCCCATCAGGTACTTAGATACATTGATAAGATCCCCCCGAGCCTCCTCTTCTCCAGGCTGAACAGTCCCAGCTCTCTCAGCCTCTCCTCATGTGAAGGACGCTCCAGAACCTTCATCATCTTTGTGGACCTCTGCTGGCCTCACTCCAGTAAATCCAAGTCTCTCTTGCACTGGAGAGCCCAGAACTGCACACAGCACCACACGTATGGCCTCACCTGCAACAAGCAGGGATCACCTCCCTCCACCCATGGGCAACTCTCTTCCTAAAGCAGCCCAGGATGCTGCTGGCCTTCTTTACCACAACAATGCACTGCCAGCTCATGGACAGCTGGGGATCACCTCCCTCCACCCATGGGCAACTCTCTTCCTAAAGCAGCCCAGGATGCTGCTGGCCTTCTTTACCACAACAATGCACTGCCAGCTCATGGACAGCTGCTTGTCCACCAGGACCAGGGTCTTCTCTGCAGAACAGCTTTCTGGCCAGTTGGCCCCCAGCCTGTACTGGTGCAGGGGCTTATCCCAAGATGCAGGACTTTGCATTTCCCTGTGTTGAACTTCATGAGATTCCTCTCTGTCCAGCCTGTCAAGGTCCCTCTCTGTGGCAGCACAACCTTCTGGCTCATCAGCCACTCCACTGAGTTTTTTTATCATCTACAAACTTGCTGAGGGTGTACTCTGCCCCATCGTCCAGGTCATTAATGAAGATGTTGAACAGTACTGGCCTCCAGGGACCTTGCACCACTGATCACAACCCTCTGGGCCTGGCCATTCAGACACTTTTTAATCCACCTCACTGCCCACTTATCCAAGTCATACCCTATATATAAGGATGTTACAGAAGACCATAATGTTACTCAGATCAAGGTAAACAACATCCACTGCTCTCCCCTTGTCCACCAAACTAGTCATCTCATTATAGATGACAGTAAGGCTGGTCAAGCATGATTTCCCCTTTGTAAATCCATGCTGACTACTTCTGATCACATTCTTGTCCTTCACGTGTTTAGAAATGCTTTCCAAGAGGATTTTCTTCATTATCTTCTGAGGGACTGAGGTGAGGTTGACCAGCCTTTAGCCCCCCGGATCTTCCTTCCTGCCCACAGAGATGACATCTATCTGTTCAGAATGGCACATTTTCCTTCTGTGTCTCTCAAGCTAGAGAGGATAGGGAAGGACTGGACAAGA